CCCTCCCCCACCCCCCCCCCCGAAACCTATTGATCTTTCCCAAATAAAACCTCTTACTGCTTCTCAATTTCATTTGTGATTTAATTTATATTTTTGCAATCAATAGAAAATTAAAGTAACTATTAACATCTTTTTATTTTATTTTATCAAACACATTAACTATTATTAGTTTATTACTTATTTCCAAATATATAACTACGTGTACATAAAATTAATTTGAGATACTTGATGTTTTTCGCTACTTTCAATTAGCTAACACAAGAAATCGCTAACTCTCTTTGAAATAGTCATAAGTTTGGCAACAATAATTACTACAGTGGACCAAAGTTTAACATTTCAGGTAATAAGGGCTCTTGAATTTTCAAATTACATTAATCTCTACCAACTTTAGAGAATAGCCTTAATTCCTAATTTTGTACTAAAACCCCAAAATTTCCATTTAGGTTAGTGGTAAGTGTTATGTGTGGTGGGTCCCAACTATTTATACACTAAGTGTAGTTAGTTGTAGTTAATTAGAGTTAGTTAATTGTATAAATAGAATAGCTGATTAGTGATTAGTGATTGTACTACTATTCATTTTCATCTTTGAAGGTTAATGACAGAAGAGGTTCATTTCAGTCTTCTTCTCATTCTCTCACCTTCTAGAATTTACGGTTCTTCCATAGCTAGAGCTTTTCAACAGTAAGTGGTAACCTAAAGAAAATCAATAAAACAAGTGACTCTTGTAGAAGAAAACCAGTCAATCATAACTGATCGGCTCCAACCTTATACCACTATAAAATGGCAAGAGTGGTCGATGCAGCTTTTACCCGAAAGGTCGGGATCGATATCAACAAGGAGCTAATATTGATTTGGAGTTGGGTTTCTATCCAATCTCGCTATACGTGTTGTTGTTCATTGCACTTCTAACCATGCTTTGTTTTGTTTCTATTCTACTTTTATGCTAATGAATGTTGAAAGTAATCTAAGTGGAATGTTTTTGTAAGGATTTTTTCAATTAATAAAAGGCACTAGGGAAGTAACTTACACCTAGGCGAGTATCTAATGGGATCTAAAACTTAGGACAAACTTGTTATAATTGGGATCATGATATAACCTTTGCACATAATTACTCACTCTATACCTCTCGGTAGTTCGAGTGACTTTGCCTGCATTGACTTTCTCAAGCCCAATTGAGTGTCCAAACAATGCAAGCAAAATTGGCTTAAGTCGGGTATTACTATCTCTAGGTTTAACCCTTTAATTGGGGCTATCAATCTCTTGAATGCACCCCAATTCCTTGTTAGCTTGAATTTCCTAGACTTAGTCTCTCTTTCTCAAGAAGAGTCTAAGTCATATAGGCACGAATCAGTGTTTGCAACCACCAATTCAACAATTAAAGCATGATTCAAGCTAAATATCATTAACCCATAAATAATTAAGCCCTAAAATTAAAGACCCATTAAATACCCACACTAGGGTTGGGTCACAACCCTAGCTAATGGTTTAGCTACTCATAATTAAGGTAGAAATCAAAGATGGAGATGAAATATAAGCCATAAAAAGTAATAACAAGAGTAAAATCTAAGATTAATAGCTAACAATATTCTAAAATTACTCTAAGAAGTAAAAATGGCTGTTCACGTGCTCCTCAAAACAACAGATGACCTAAAAATGTGAAAAAGAACTATTTATACACAGCTAAAATTTTCGGACAAAAATACCCCTACGGAGGTTCCGCTGACAGCGTAATAATGGGCGCCTCAGCGCTTGAACTTTCACGGCCGCGCAAAAGCAAGCGTGGACCGCGGTTCTTCTCTTTTGGACCGGGTCTGGACTTGATTTCGCTGGGAGCGTAAAAGCAACCGCCTCAAAGTTGTCTTCAACCGCGGTCGCGTAATATGTTCGCGGACCGCGCTCTTCATTTGAGCTCAAATTTCCAGTCCTCTGATTCTCAATTTCGCCCTCAGCGCTATTTGGACCGCGGCCGCGGCAAGTATTTCGCTATCGCTCTATTTCACTGCGGGCAGCAGTGTCTGTTATGCCCAAACTTGCCTTCTTTGAACCTCAATTTCGCTGAGCGCGTAATTATGGTCGCCTCAGTGGTGGACCTTCCGCGGCCGCACTATTTCATCGC